CGCAGCACGTTTGCCTGACGTATGAACCTGATACTGTGAACTCTCTCTCCTCTCTAGACAGCCTGATGTTTAAATTGCAAGAGCCAAGTAAGTCGACCGCGGCTGGCAAGGGATGGGGTTGGGGGAGATTGAGTTTAGGGGTTGGGGGAGAGGCTCCCTGGAAAAAACAAAGCAGTCCCCCAGGGAGAGGAAGGGGCAAGTGACAGTGGTCTGATGCTGTGATGTTCCTGCTGCATCCTATAATCCCAAATGCTCCTCTGGGACCATAAAAAGGGAAGACCTGAGAGGCACGCTTGTGCATGTGTGCCTCCCCTTCCGTCCCTTGCCTTCATCCCCTTCCCCTGGAGTCTGTCCTCTCCCCCTTCCTCCCAGGGGCATCTCTGCTGGAGAACCTCAAGCCTGGTGCCCCTTTGGTGCCAGCCCCAGGCCTGTCCGTACCACCCCATGAAGCATCCAGAGCTGGTAGAGGCAGGAGAGCAGGGACTGTCCCAGCTGCCAGGAGCAGGAGAAACATCTTGGGCATCTAGGCTTGTGCCCTACCTCTGACACACCAGTTCTGTCTCTTGTCCTTCAGCCAACGTGACCCTGGATCCAGCCACGGCTCACTCCAACCTCCACCTCTCTGAGGACCGGAAACAAGCCAAGGGCCACCTCGCACAGCAGGACCTTCCCGACAACCCCGAGAGATTTGACTTTGAGCCCTGCGTGCTGGGCTGCGAGGGCTTCACCTCCGGGAAGCATTTCTGGGAGGTAGAGGTAGGGCAGGGGGGTGTCTGGGCCCTGGGAGTGGCCCGAGAGTCGGTGAAGAGGAAGGGGCAGATCAGCCTGACCCCCAAGGAGGGGGTCTGGGCGCTGGAAGCATACCACTCTCTTACCTCCCCCCGTGCCAACCTGCGCCTCAACCCGCTTCCCAGGAGGATACGGGTCTCCCTGGACTATGAAGCGGGACGGGTGGCGTTTTTCAGCACGGATGACGAGACGCCCATCTTGGTTTATAGCAGGGCCTCGTTCAACGGCGAGAGGGTCGTCCCCTGGTTCAAGATGGGGATAGGGGCGCGTCTGCGAGAAATCACCCAACACCCGCCCTCAGAGGACCAGTCCGTGGCTGGGCAGCTCATGTCCCCTCTGGACTGGGTGGGGTTCGGGTCTCCCCTCAGGATCTGTTCTTGAGGTTCTCCTCAGGATCTGTTCTTGAGGTTCCCATCAATCAGATCTCAAAAAAAAGGGGGGGGGGGGGGAAAAGCTGACCAGGGGAGGGAACTCAGTTTGTGTTCAAATACGGTGCACCGCGATGAACGCAGCGAGCAGGCGACTCAGGGACTCGCTGTTCACCTCCTGCGTCCCTCTCCGCTGCGAGCTGGTGGCGTGGTACCTCCGGGAGTACGGGGGTGACTTCTCATTTAGTTTACCTTTAACCAGACTGAATCTCTCTGATAAGCCTCTAGCTCTTTCCAACGTGTTTTGTTCCTTTCCGGCACCAGTTGCGAGGCACGTCCCGAGTCTGTCCTGCAGAAGGAGATGGCCTTTCACTGTAAATAGCAAAGCCTGATTTGGTTTGGAGAGCTGGTCTCTGTCTCTGATTGGGTTTCTGATATTTATTTTAAATAAAAAACCCATTTCTGTCTTGCACTCTCCTCCTCTCCTTGGATGCATTATTCTGGATTTATTTGCCTTTGGGTCTGTAAAAATCAAGAAAAGCTGCACCAGGTGGGGACACCTCACTTCCCCTCTCACCTTCTCATGGTCGGCCTCTCCAGCCGTTGGGGCTCACTTTGCAGGCAGTGAAGAGAAACAAACTCATCCCTGTTGACCGGGTCATCCCTGTTGACCAGGTCATCCCTGTTGACCAGGATGGACAGGACAGGATACCAGTGACTAAGCTGATTAGATATTCCTTGACTGCAAAAGAAGCTGGAGTGACTAGGTGAAACAGTGGTGCTGGCCTTTGTCAGCTGACTCACCTGAACAGATTCCCCGAAAAACTGCTTATTTTCTTCTGAGGAAACCCAAAAGAGGAAGAGGCCTCACTGAAATAAGTGAGTTATCAATTATAGAACTGAGAAGGGGAACCAAAAGAGAGAGTAGGAGGGAGCGGGGGAAGTCGGGCTCAGAATAACAGAAAAATATACGTATGACAAAGCCCTATCTCAGCATCCCCACCGAGAGCATGAGTAGGACCCATCCCAGGACATCCCATGCAGGAACGACTTCTGCTGAGCCTGCATCATGGAAGAAAGAGGGGAAATAGGAGCAGAAAAGGACAATGCTCCTATACGTCACCCCATAAGTTTTGTCCGGATGCTGAAACCAAATCCACTTTTCCCACCTGAGAAGTGGGAAAAGTTGAGATGAACATGACATGATAGGCCATCGGAGCAGGGAGGATGGGAGAAAAACCTCTGCACGAGCTGAGGGCAAGCTCTTGATCTGCTCTGCAAGGATGTTTGTGGGTTGCTGTAGATCCTTAAAGCACGGCGCTCACCAGAAACAAGGCACAAAACACCGAGTCCCAGCAAAACTCTAAGTTCACGCAAGTGTGTTTGTGCCTTTTATCCAGGGACAATGATTTTCCTCCAAAACGTACGTTGCTCTTTTGCGTCGGGTTTGATTCCACCCTCCCCTAAGACTTCTTCAGGAATTCAAGAGGACTTGGTAGGGATTCAGGTTCACCCGTGATCTCCTCCTGTGGGAAATGCCTTTCCATGTGCTCGCAATGGTCTTTCCCACCCCACTGCTCCTTTGTTTGCATCTTAAAAGGGAGGGAGAGAAGCTGAGCATGGGCAGACTGTGCTTGGATTTCAGAGACTCCGCAGGTTCCTGGGAGGACACAAGCTGGAAGACCTGAAAGATGAACTCGAGAAGAGGCAGACAAAAAATACCACCAAACTCCCGGAGGAGATTTCTCATCTGGACACCGTGACGCAAGAGCTGGAAGAGAAGAATCAGCAGTCAGCGAGTGAATTTTTCCAGGTGAGTTTATAGCCTTTCAAAGAGAAAATCCTGGGGGAAAATGCTTACATCGGATAGCTCAGGGTTTAGTTAGCTGCACTTCCCGAGTTCAAGTTTGCACGTGTTCCCTTCAAGCCTGAAAACCCTAAGAAGAGCGGCAGGTGGGATCTGCTGCTTTCCTTCGCCGCCGCTGTCTCACCCACTTGATATCATCACCGAGCTGATTTGCCACCGTCGTGGCAGGGGGCATCACAGATCTGCAGTCGCAACCACCACTGGGCTTGGGACTTCTGTTAGCCTTGGATGAGGACATCGGTCCTGGGACAGGCTGGGGGAGGGATGCTTTCACGGCGCGCAGCCTTGTGTAGCGGCAGAGAGATGCTCCTGGGCGTTTCTGAGACCTTCGTTGCCTGTGTCCGGGTGCAGCAGCTCCCAATGGGCTGGGAGCCAAACTCCAGCTGGCAGGGTGCCTGATCCATCCCACAGTACCCGAGTAAGGAGAGAAGGACAAGGAAGCCCCAAATCCAGGGCATCAGTCCACAGGGATGAGGCAGGTCCAGGGACAAGCCAGGAAGCCAGCCCATGGGTCGGGGTTCAGGTCAGCAGGGTCCGTGGCCAGGTACGGTTACAGCTAGGGCCAAGCACGGCGAGTGGATTGACCTAATTCATTGCCCTGTCTTCAAATTTTAGCTACTTTTAAAACCATACGGTTACCCGAACCGGTCTGGTCTTGTTCTGCAGTTGATTCTTGCTGGAAGAGGCAAACTGCTCGACGCTTTGCTGCATTTAGGTCCCACATATCATCGCTTTCTGTCATTCTTCTACCCTCACTATTTCTTTTTGGCCCAACGTATGAAGTATCCCAAAGTCTGCAGAAAGGTCTACTATTCTCATTACTGGGCATTCACTGTGCACCTTTCCTTCTTGTCTTTTTTTGGTTAAGAACAGCTTTTCTGCTCCATGCGCAGCACCTGGCACGCGGGAGGGCCCTGCCAGTCCCTTTCCCCTTCTGCCCTGGGACCTTTCTGCCCCTTGACACCACCCCAGATCCTGCAGACCCCATCCAGCATCTAGGGGGGCATAGGAAGGGGCAGGTCAGCCTCTGGCCAAAAGCGGGGGAATCTGAGCGGGGAGAGAAGCGGGGCGGCCAAACCTACGCCGGAGGGCCGGTGGCGTTTTTCGATGCCGAGGAAGGGGGGGGCCTCATGTCCCAGCTCTGGATGCGTCCCTGAGACACGGAGAGCAGCGATCCCCCTTTCCGCTGCCTCAGGGGACAACCGCGTGGCCACGGCACTCTTCCCACCACCTCCGGGACCAGAGGTGCACGGGGAGCACAAGAAACGGGGGGGCTTTTGCTTTACCCACGGGGGACTTTGGCTTGCGCCTTGCAAGCCAAAGAAGAAGAGCTGAGTCCAAGAGAAGCGCGGCAAAGGGAAGGGAAAAGCTCTGGAGAAGAGACCCCCCAGGGCGTGGAAATGGGAGAGATCATTAACAATAATAAAAATACATAATTTTCTCCTCTCCATCCTTCTTTCCGGGTGGTGTAAGAACCGGATCTGGGCAGAGCCTGTCCCTCAGGTGATTAGATGTTCCTCTGTCCCTTCATTCGCTCATTGAGCCACAGTTTGCTACCCGCTGAATAAGCAGACACAGAAGAACGTCACAGCATGGAGGAAATCTTTATACGCCGTCGAAACCCGAGGTCTGCAGAACCAGTCGGACAGCAGACTGGTGCAAGGCCTTGTGGTGCAAAAAGGGCTCCGCTTGGCGCCCGCTGATGCCCCAAACTGGTGATTATAGACCCGCAAAGGTGCTTAACCCTTTGGGATCGCAGAGAACGGGAAGAGAGGCCTGAACGGCCAAGTAGGAATTTGGCAGCCAGGAGTCCTCCAAAACCTGCTGGGACTAGCCATGTTGGGGACAAAGAAAACCCATGTTTGGGGGAGAACAGAGCTTTCTCTCCTCATGCCTCAGGGGCACAAGGTGATCTGGGACCCCTCACTCCAGACCAGGAACCAGGGGTGAATCTTCTCCCCTTTGAATGAGGCTGCTGGGAAAGTGAAGATCAGGGCCCTCTTATCAGCATCAAAAAATGACACTTGGCCCCTCTCATAGTGCAGGGAGACCCGGACCCTCCTGGGGACCTGGCGCCAGGACAGAGCTGTGCGCTCAAGGGAGGTGAGAGCCCAAAACTGGCCCTCACAGAGGCCCATGGACCACAGCTCAACTTCGGGGCTCTCGCCGGTCTCGTCCCTCCTCTTCACAGACTCCCTGGCCACCCCTACGGCCCAGGAACCTTTTGGTTCCACCTCCACTTCCCAGCAGTGACGCCCGGAGGCGATTCCCTCGCAGCCCAGCACGCAGGGGTCGGTGGCGAATCCCTCAGCAGCCAGGTCCTGCTGGGCATCTTCCCACCTCACGCTCCTCCCATCCTCGGACACGACGAGCTGGGGGTGAGCCGTGGCTGGATCCAGGGTCACCTTCACTGCAAGGAGGGGAGAGCAGAGCGTCAAAGGGAAGGCCAAGTTTTCCACCACCCGGCTCTGCTTGCCACCTCCCAGGGCATTGGGTCCCTGCCAGGGGTGAGCAGGGTTGTCCCACAGCTCCGTCCACCCCATCCCCTGGGATGCTGCTCCGCTCCCAGCAACGGGATGGGGAAAGCAGGACCCAGGGAAGCAGCGGGCAGAAGGGAAAGGGGCAGAGCAAGAGCGCGAACAAACCCCATGGCAAGAGGAGGAGACATCAGCCCCAGATGTGGGGAGACCCCTTTTTTGCCTAGGGGCCAAAACAAGCGTGTCCTTCCCTGAACGTACCAGTGCAAAGGGACAGTAGGTCCTCACCCATCTTAGCAGCTCCATTGCAAAAAAATTAATCCGGGAGCATCTTAGGGTGAGTATTCCCCCACTCCTTACGGTGTTTCCCCCACCTTCATCGGTTTCTTTTGAGGCATCTTCCCCAAGTGAACCACCCTCCAGCTCATGACCCAGCCCATGATGGGCTCAGCCTTCCCTTTCCCCTTCCCACTGCCTTCCGTTCCAGCAGAGGGACTTACTCTTTTCAGGCAGCTCAAACATCAGGATGTCTGGAAAAGGGGAGAAAAGGGACATGAGACATCCGATGTAACGCAGGCATCAGTGGAGGCATGGACGCAAAGAGAGGTTAGGTTGGGTTTGGTTTTTTTTTGGCCACGCTGAGCTCGCACCTTGGGTGAAGCAGCTGCAGGGAGACGGACGAGCGTTGTGCAAGTCAAGGAGACCAAAAGTAAACAAGGAGGGGCAAGGGTTAGGCCTCGTGCCATTTCCCCAAAGCTTGGGATTTCAAAGTCATTGTCAAGCGCAGGTTGTCCCCAGAGAAGTGAGCGAACGCCAGATGTTTTAGGGGTGCGCAGCAGCATATGTCCACCCCAGGCTGCAGATACAGCTGGTGAGATCTAGTGGTGCATCTACTTGCAAGCGCCTGGGTGACTCTGCAAAGGGAGCTGGGCTGCATTACAGCTCTAAGAACAGCCTGAAAACATGCTGAAAAAGCCTTTTGCCCTGAAAAAGTCCATCGTGACTTTTCCCCGATGCCAATAATTTTACGTTCCCGCAGATACTACTCCAGCCTCCCACCCCAGCCCATGCTCAATACCTTGGAAGTTCCTCAGAGTCTCCTTCAGAGCAACACTTTTGTCCCTGAAGTGACTGATTTTCTTTTCCAGCTCTGGAAGAATCAATGGGGGCTGCTGGAAATTTTCCTTCTCGTACCTAGAGAGGGAGAGAGGAAAGAGGTGAGGACCCACCTCCTCAGGGGAAAGCCAAGAAATCTTTCTAGCACGTGCCTAGCTGGTATGTTAGGAGGTAGCACAGACTTTAATAAGCATATTGTACATTCAGAGCTGGGTAAAATGTTTATTTTAGGTCATTAAAACTTAGCACTTGGCCATCTCTCACCACTAACGGTCTGGGAGCAGTGATCCCAGTGGACCAGAGAGGAAGAGTTTCTCCTACAGACCCCAGGCATGCAAGCTAGGTTTGTCTTCACGGACTGCAGCTCTGAACGTTTGGCCTCTGCTTGCTGGAGGCTTTCCGGTACCTGGGCAGCCCTGCTGAACACCCGGTCCAAACCCCCTCCCAAATCTAGGGTCAGGAGGAGAAGCTGAGGAAGCCCCATACCTGCTCAGGGTGCTTCTGATGTCCTGGAAGGGAGAGAAGAAAACTCAGTGAATAGGGATGTTGACGGCAAACCATCTACTGCAACCCCAAAAGCGTGGATGGGGCTTTGGAGCAGAGCACAGACTGCGGTTGGCTGCATCGTGGAATAATACCCAGAGCCAAAACAATAGCCAGGAAGTAGAGCGAAAGCTTAGCTCTCTCTCCATTCCTGACCTCCTCACCTGTAAAAATTCACTCGCTGGTTGCCGGCATTTCTCCTCCATCTCCTGGATCAAGGTGTCCAGACAGGAGATGTCCTTAGTGAGGCTGGTGATGTTTTCTTCCTGCATTTTCTCAACATCTCTATCCAGTTGCCCCAGCTGGGCCAGCAGATGACGTGCCTGGTCCTCCAGGAAGAGACGCAACCGTTCAAATTCGGACAAAATTTTCTGCCGCTCGGCTTCGGTCTTCTCCTGTTAGGAGGTGACACAGGAAGGGAAGAGCAGGATGAGGAAGGACATAGCAAAGTCCTGCACGTGCAAATAGCTACACCCCTAGAAATAGTCAGTGCCTGCCGTGTCCTAAAACGTCCCCGCCTTGGTGTCCAGCTGCAAACCCGAAGACTTGCAACGCGTCCCGTACTTAGGCAAGCACGGTTCTCCAGCCAGAGCAAGCTCACTCAGCTTTTGCCTCATTGAGCAACCGAATCCCTTACAAGACTCCAGGCTCTGCCTGTTATTGTCCCCCCACCAGCCAGTGGGAAGTCCTGCAGCCTTTGGTTCAGTACCTCCAAAGGGAGCCCCCCCCCCCCATCGCAGAGCAGCACACGCGCCCACACAGCATCTTGTCTCGAGCCAAAAGGTGACATCCAGCCTCCCGTCCCTCCTCGTGGAAAACTGACACCTACCAAATAGTCCCAGTTCCTCCTCATTTCAGCCTCTCGAAATGCCAGGAGTTTGTCTTTGTCTTCCTTCAGGGCTTGCAGATGGGCCTGGATCTGTCCCTGAGGAAAGAAAAAGGACTCCTCGTCCGTGGAGGCTGGGGACAGCCTATCTCCCCTCACTACCTGGATCTTCCCAGGCTTGAGGGTCGCTTACAGTCTTTCTTCAGCTTGGCATGGGATAGGGACCACGCTTGGTGGAAACGCCCCTTGGTCCAGCCCTGCTGGAGGGACATGTGAAGAGGAGAGCCAGGTAAGGAGGGCAGGCTTGGGACAGGAGATACACCAGGCATCTTGACTTCTTTTCCAACCACACAAAACAGTGGGGAGGGGATTGCACTGCGGGCAGCTCCACAGCTTCTCCTTGGATTTCTCCTGCGGTCCAGAAGAATACCGAGCTCGACAGCTTGGAGCACTTTAAACGGCAAGAAATGCCACAAAGCGAACAAAGCTTTCTGCATCCCTCATTGGATCCTTTCTTGAGATGGTTTGACTGACTAGTGAGAAAAATATCCCTTTTTCAAGCCAGGCTAGTTTTCTGCTGGCTAGGAGAGCGCAGGAAGATCTACAGATGGTCCAGGAAGCCCCAGAGCTGGACACAGGGGCTTTTGCAGCTCAGAGCAGAGGAGGAAGACCTCACCATTTCAGCCACAGAGTATCTTTAGACCAGCGACTACTAAAGATACTAAACCAGGCCTGCTCGAGCTGAGAACCGAGAGAGCGGAAACACCGGTGCGCTCTGCTCTGTCATTTTGAAACGGGTAACTTCGCTCTGGAGGAAGAGTGGGGGGCAAATAGCCGGAGGGGAGGGGACAACGCTTCTGCCCCCAGTAGCGGCGATGTCAAATCGTGCCACCTCGATGACAACTTGGAGGCAGGACGTTGCCTGATGGCAACGTGGCAATGAGGGGACCGTCGCGTCCCCACCTGGATCCTCAGGCACGTGTCCCTGGAAAGATCTCCCTTACCTTGTATTCCTGGACAGCCTCCGGCACCGGCAGCATGGTGTGAGCGCGGTGAGCCCGGGACTCCCTGCAGACCACGCAGATGAGGGCTTCGTCTTCTTTGCAGAAGATCTTCAGAGGCTCTCGGTGCCTCTGGCATCCTTCTTCCTCCGCCGCTTCTCCTCTGGCCGCCTGCAGGCTCAGGCGCTTAGCGATTTCGAGCACTCGCGCCAGCTCCCGGTTGGGCCGGAAATTTCTCTCCGGGGCCGTCTCCCGGCACTGGGGGCAGGAGAAGTTGGTGGTGGACCACTCCCAGCACAGGGTGATGCAGGCACGGCAGAAGTTGTGGCCGCAGTGGATGGAGACGGGGTC